CAGCATTTTTGCAGCAGGCTGGCTACTTGTGCCTCGTCAAAAAGAAGTAGACAAGAGGGTGGCAGAAATAATATTTGCATATGTTAAGCTATAGGTCCTTATGCTGATTTACATTTCTTTCTGCAAATTTGGAAATCATGCTTTAATTTAAATAGAAATGCAATATATCTTGCCATAGTGGGGAAGGTAGTTCAGTCGGCTGCCCAGATGCTAAGAAACTAAGAAAAGCCCTGCTGGATCAGGCGAGTGGCCCATCTAGTCCAGCATACTGTTCTCACAGTGGCCAACCAGATGTCTATGAGAAGCCGCAAGCAGGACCTGAACTTAACAGCAGTCTCCCATCCTGTGGTTTCCAGCAACTGGTATTCAGAAGCATACTGCTTATAACTGTGGCGGTATGATGGTGATGATGGACAACTTCAAGATTCCTCCCGCTCTCTATTTTTACAGTTCTTCATCTTGAATTGTACAGTCCTTCAAATAGAAGTGTCCACTAATTTAAAAGCAAGGGGTGGGTGTATTCCACCACCATGCCCTTAATTCTTCTAGTTAAGCTTGGGTTTTTATGCAGGGGGTGGGTGTGTTTCACATCACGCGTTCAGGTTTTTAGCCCTAGTTGTGTGAAATAAACGACTGGTGAGAGCAATCCTCTACCTTCTGAAGGCTTTTATCTCGCATTTCTTGTGATTTTGCTATCTTATGGGCAGTCCTAACCCTGATGTAAGGGACGCGGGTGGCACTGTGGGTTAAACCACGGAGCCTAGGACTTGCCGATCAGAAGGTTGGCGGTTCGAATCCCCGCGATGGGGTGAGCTCCCGTTGCTTGGTCCCTGCTCCTGCCAACCTAGCAGTTCGAAAGCACGTCAAAGTGCAAATAGATAAATAGGTACCACTCCGGCGGGAAGGTAAACAGAGTTTCCGTGCACTGCTCTGGTTTGCCAGAAGTGGCTTAGTCATGCTGGCCACATGACCTGGAAGATGTATGCCGGCTCCCTCGGCCAATAAAGCGAGATGAGCACCGCAACCCCAGAGTCGGTCACGACTGGACCCAGTGGTCAGGGGTCCCCTTTACCCTTTACCCCTGATGTGCTGGCTGGGTTGCGATTTGGCATATCTCCCTACCCCTGGCTAATCTGGACTTGCTGGCACTTTTCAATTCAAGAGACAAGGGAGTGCACCTCTGGAGGTGAGGTCAAACCACTGGAGAATCACAGTGCCTGCTGTGACCGCAGAGACCGGTAACTTGTAACTGCTGCCTCCCATGCTGGTTTTGCTACATTAGCAGCACCAAAGTGACCTTTCTGGAGCACAAGCCTGAGCTGTGTGTTTAGAGTATGGGTAGGCAAACTAAGGCCCGGGAGCCAGATGCGGCCCAATTGCCTTCTCAATCCAGACTGCGGACGGTCTGGGAATCAGCGTGTTTTCACAATCGTAGAATGTGTCCTTTTATTTAAAATGCATCTCTGGGATATTTGTGGGGCATAAGAATTCGTTCATTATTATTTTTTCCAAAATATAGTCCGGCCCCCCACAAGGTCTGAGTGTCAGTGGACCGGCCCCCTGTTGAAAAGGGTTGCTGACCCCTGCTTTAGAGGTCCTGGGCTGCCCAGAAGACAAATTTCCCTCTCAGCCTCACTGATGTGGTCCAAAGGAAAATAGATCAATACATTTGGCACCAGCATGGATGCAGGAGTTGCTGCAAAGAGGCATACAAGATGCCATCCGACTGTCTTAGGGACTCGACTCTGGATTTGTGTAGTGTTTACATAGCCTTTCCTTCTCCTGAAGATGTCCTGCAAGGCAGCAGGCACAGATTTTTCCTTGGGGTTTACTCGTGAATGAGTATAGCTGGAAGGCAGCAAAGGCTTAGAATCAGAGTTTTCCTTCTAAAAGCCAGCATAAATGCTTTCCCCTGGCATTTCTACATACACTGGCTGATGTAATGCCCTGCTGGGGGAAGCTAAGCTGGTGGAAGTTAAACTGGTGTAAAGGGCAAAACTGGGTGCATCAAGGTCAGAGAATGAGTGGGGAAAGGAATAAACAGTTGCATTGCATCCGAAATCCCTTCATTCACTGGTCCCTCTCCCACAGAGCTCAGTGCAACTTAAAAACTACAGTTCTCAGCGTTCCCCAGGAAAAGGGGATTGACTGTTAAGCCACTCTGGAAATTGTAGCGCATGGGGGGAATAGGGGATCTCCTAACAATACTCAGTACCCTTAAACTACAGTTCCCTGGATTCTTTAGGGGAAGCCATGACTGTTAAAGTGGCATAAAACAGCTTTAAAGTTATGGTGCAGATGAGGCCTAATATGGCAGTAGATGGGGAGGCTTTGCAAACAAACCCCTTTAACTTGTAAAAAAAACCCAACCCATATTTATATTATTTTGATTAGCTTTTTAAGAATCCCTGTTATGAATTCTGTTGGAGTTAGCAGCTCAGAATAGAAGAAAACAAAGTGTCAGAATCCTATGCTCAACTCACTGAATTCTCTAAGTTTCTGTAAACTATCCCTAAACACTTCAACTTAAAAAGTATCTCTCTAAGTCGAAAAGTTAAGTGCAGGATATCAATACATGATGTAAGTTCTATATACTTCTCTTCAATTTGTTAATCTTTATGCCCATATTTCTAATGTTACCAACAATCTTCATAAAACATATACATACATTTGTTTATGCTGTTCATATTTTAGTAACAAACTAATTAGCTGAACTAATTCTCTCAGCCAGTGCATCTCCTTGATGCAAATCATTTCCTTAATAAACATATCAGTTTTGCTCATCTTATAAACTTGTCTCTAATGGCAGTGTTAATCCCATGTCTATTCTTCAAGAACAAAGCTGCTAGGCTTCGGTAAGTTACATTGGTTTATTTTGGCAACAGAGTTTAAAGGTGGTATAGTGAAGACAGAATTCTCTAAGTGTGAGCAGGGGTGAGAGGGAAATTGACTCAATTTGCATATGCATGTGCACTTCCCCTAATCACAATTGCCAAACCAATAAGCAAACTGAAACACAAAGCTATCCTTCAAACTTTGCACCTCTCTGAATTTTGTGATGCAATTCTCCAACTTTAAAACATGACCCCAAAATGCATATATTAGTGGGGGAAATGTACAGAATGACATATGATGGACAATTCATTGCAAAAATGCATATATGTTTTAAGTTGTTTTATCCCTTGTTATGTAATAGAATAACAGTAATAATAAGAAGAAACAAATAATTTAAAAACATAAATAATAATTAAAACAATAGGCAACATTGCATACAAAAATTGCTTTTGTTAGGAGAAATGTGCATAAAAATGCATATATATTTTCCTGCAGACTTTTCATAAAAGAAAACATCACAAACTGATATAGAAACGGGGTGAAGGGAATTTAAGATTGTCAAAATGAGAAGCCAGGACAACCTGGAATTGACAGATTTCTCCATCCAAAACTATCTGAGAACTTTTGTAAACACCAGCTGACATCACACTGTGATGTTCTGCTTCTTCAAATGATTTGTGCAAGTGAGACTTACTCTTTCCATCTGCAGCCCCCTACATACTCCCCAAATTTGCCCCAGAGGTTTGGAAGATCACATGGAGCAGAGTGAGGTGGGGCTGCAAGGAAAGGAGAGGAAAGGATAAGTCCTGTTGGATCCTGTGGCACAATGGCAGGTCTTGCCCATACCTCATGGACCCATACCTCAAAAGGTTTTTAAAACAGGGAAAGAGAGAACATATCCATATTGGGATATCCATACAGTGGTACCTTGGTTGTCGAACTTGATCTGTTCCGGGAGTCCGTTAAACTCCTAGAACCGTTCAAAAACTAAAGCACAGCTTCCGATTGGCTGCAAGAGCTTCCTGCACTCAATCGGAAGCCACGTCGGATGTTCGGCTTCCAAAAAATGTTCGCAAACTGGAACACTTACTTCCAGGTTTGAGGCGTTTGGGAGCTGATTTGTTTGGGAGCCAAGCCGTTCAGCAACCAAGGTACTGTTTCATCCCCAAGGCCCTGAAAGAATAAAACTATTCCTGGAGGGAAAAGATCTCTCTCTCTCTCTCTCTCTCTCTCTCAACCCCCAGGGACTTCTGAGGAATCATATTGCCTTGAGGGGAAGGGAGGAGAGACAGCCTACAGCCTCTTCAAGATAAGCAGTTGCTTGTCTTTTCTGTTTCATTGTATAATTCATACTGGTACTTAGAATTGTGTTCAGCTAATTTACAGTAGACACACTGAAGTTAATGGAACTAGGTGAGTCATGTTCATTCTTTCCAGTGGATCTATTCTGAACAGGAACGACATTTTAATTTCATTTAATTTAATTTAAATATATATTTTTACGGAAACAACTTTGAGATATCTTCACACACAGAAAATAGAAAAGTTTTTCTTCTCACAAACTCCTGTTCTTCTTATTTGTCCTCCCTTTTTACTACTTGTTCTTTTCCCTATTTGTGAGCACCTGGGAAATACAGTAAGAAACAGACCATACTCACAAGGGACAAATATCCAGCACACAAGGGAATCAACTGTATGTATTAAGATTTGACAATGTCCTTTGTAATATGTTCTTGACAGCAGCTGCTCAAGAAGGAAGAATGCCTGTCCGCGTGGAGACTGGTCCATTACAGCGAAGGGGAGACTGCCTTTCTTCTGCCTTGCAACCAGCCCAGGGTGTGGCTCTGCCTGCCAGCTTAGACTCAATGCTGCCCCTTGTAGAACTGAGCAGGGAGGAGGGTGGGAACAAAACTAGAAATAATTGGCTCTGCTTGTTACTGGCTCTAGCTCAAACTTATTCTTGGTCTCTCTGCCTTCCATCCTGTCAATTCTGAAGACCAACTACCGTCGCTTGCCGGTCTCCTGTAGATGTGCCAGACTTAAAGCAACTAGCAGGCTCATTGTTAACCTGGATTTCAGGCCTGACATTTGATGCCTGAGGTTAAGCTGTTGCTGAGAGAGGCATCTAGTCCAATCCCATGCAATGCAATAATCCTGCCCACAACTGTTCCTGGGCAGGTTTGAACCACCAACCTTCTGGTTAACAGCAAGACACATTGTTCCATTGTGCCATACTTGATCAGATGCATTAGCATTTGGGATGTGGCTTCATGCTTCTAGCTTTCTGTTTCCCAGGACCTACCTTTAGTCTTCCTAATAAGAGAGGACATCTTCCAAAATAAATCATCGTGAAGTCTCAGAACCTGATTTGGCTGCAGCAGAGAAGTCCAAGGTGACCGTTTCAGCTCCAAATTACTCGATTCTGTATGTAGAGTCATCTTTTTATTTATTATGTTTTCACCCTGTGCTTCTTCAGGGAACAATGGGCATTTGGTCCTAGCCTAACACTCTCTAACCACTATACAACACTACTGCTAGGGAAAGGATGGTTTTCTCCAGCAGGCCCCTGCTAGTGATCTAGAAGGCCTCAGAGTCAAGGCACAGTTGCTTCAGTTGCTTTTAAGAAAGCTCTTCTCTGACCCAGTTCTGCCCCTCCCCTCCTGAGTCACCAACTCCCCAGCAGGGCTGACCACGTGAAAAGCTTTCTCCTTCAGCAAGATGCTGGAAAAAGAAGCGACCAGCTTGCTGTATGCAGAAGGCAGTGGACTTCTCTCCGCCTGCTATGGCCATTGCTGACAGTTTTTTGCTTTCAGTGTTATCTGGTTAGAACTCAGAGTGCTTTAGCTTCAGGACGGGGGCAGTGTGGTGAGGAGAGAAGAAATCCAGTGTTCTTTAAAAGGGACCAAGGCAGCCATTTGTCAAGTGACAGGGCAAAAGCACACCAAGTTACTGATTCCTCACAAACATCCCCAGCTACTAAAAAATTAATCAGCAGCAGATGGCACAACAGCAGTTCGTCGCAGGAGAGCCAGGCTGGAGCAGCAAACAAAAGCATTTGGACTCGGCAGGACAAGTGGGGAGATCACTGCAAGCTCAGGAGGGGAGAGACGTGTGTGCAGAGGGGCTTTTGGCCGGCTCCCGTGGAGAGGCCTGGGAAGAGAGAGATGTGTCTGCTTTGACTGTCCTGCACCACAGTAGGTAACAAGCAGCCTGGCCTTGACAACCATGCAGCCAACAGGGAAAAGAAGACTTGGAAACAGTTCCAAAACATGCCATGGCTGGGTCAACTTCCTTGGTTTGCATGGGGACATGCAAGGTGTCTGCTTGCTCCCATTTATATAGCATATCCACATTTCTTCTCTTCAGGCAGTGTTTCTCAAACTTGAGACTCCAGCTGTTGTTGGACTAGAACTCTTGTCATCCCTAACCACTTGTCCTGCTAGCTAGGGATGATGGGAGTTGTAGTCCAACAACACTTGGGGACCAAAGTTTGAGAAACATTGCTCCTAGGGAACACTTTTATCAGCGGTTTGTCGGCCGTGGATCCCCAGAACAACTGGGCGATCCATGAGGCAGACTGAGGCAGCTGTGGTTGTGGTGGTTTCTGGGTTCTGGTGAGATCTCACAAGAGCCCTGTGGAATCTTGCAAGAGCCCCACAAGATCTAGAGGCCTCCAGAGGCCTTGAATGACCTTCCTGAGATGCCTTGCTTACTTGGTTCCCAGGAAGACTGTGTGAGGCCTCTAGAGGCTTCTGGGTGATACTGCAAGGTTCTTGCCAGAAGTCACAGCCATGTCACACTGGTAAGAAAGACTTAGGTGGGCAGTAAGAGGGGTGGTGGGTGGCACAAATGCAGAGTGGCACCTTCCCATTTTGCCTCAAGTGGCAAAGCAGGATGAAACACCCCTGGAAGAAGGCAGGCAGGTGGGGGCTGGCTGTGGGCAAACTGAGGTTGGTGGGACAGTGCCCTATTTGCCCTGATGAACTAACCTGATGGACTGTAACTTCCTGACTTCCTGGGTAGAGTTCTAGGGCATGGGCATGCCAAAAGCAGATTGGGCTCTAGTGGTATGTCTGAGGGCAATTTGAAGTAGATCAGCAAAGTTTCATATTCCCTATAGTTTGACAGCAAGTGGAGTTGGCAACAAAGTGTTGCAGAGACAAGTGCTCCATGATCAGAATTCCAGCTAATCAAGTCTACATATACACATAATTTTCCATCCTGCACCGCACTCCAGTAGCCATGCCCACTGAATATGCTCAGTCTCTATTGGACAATTTGGGGGAGGTCTCTCCTTAGGTTTTTTCCTTAACGGGGTGCCAACTATAAGGGGTGAAAGGGGCTTCGGCCCCCTCAATATTTGTGGACAGGGAGCCCCCAAAGAGACTGGCCTCCTGCCTGCAAACATGCCCTCTGCGCTCCCCATCCCCCACCGCCAACATGGAGGGTGATCTTTCCATGCTCTCCAGCTCCTGCCGTTGGCAGGAAGATCTCTGCGGGGGTGTCTGGTTCTCCCCCCAAAAAATTGTGCATGACGTGCATATGATGTCACACAATGCCAGGCCCCCTCAATATGGGGGGCAAGTCGGCACCCCTGTTCCTTAAGCATACTTTTTGTACTTCTTCAAACCTCAAGGTCCCCGCCCCACCCCCGAATTTGCTAATACTTGTGCGAGACTGATGCTATCTTGATCACATAAACAATGGTCCTGGCAGCCTAAACATTACAAATGAATTGAACAATTATAGCAAGTGAAAATTCTCAGCCACAGTGGGCTTTTTGCTAATTGCTCCTTTCTCAGACTCGGTGTTCCTCACCTGTAAAACAGGAGCATTCATTGGTTGATTTGAGAAGAGACATTTGTAATTCAGCTGGCCAGTTTTAACCCCTTTTTCACAGGTTGCTATCCACATGTACTAGTCCCACCCCTCTGGCATCATGTGCCCAGGCCCCAATGTCCACATGTCAAGTGAGAGGTCAGCAAAGCAATACCAATATGTGTACTGTTGTACATGGGGAGGTGCTGCTGCATGAGCTCAGGGCTCCTATGTGTTCAGCTACATGTGCTCAGGTGCCCTTTTGTAAATGGCCAAATCACTGTGTGGACTTTGAGGCCACATGGCCAGCTGGCCATGTTCATGCTCCAGATCCCACTCCAGGTCCTTGAATTTTCAGCTTTCATTCATGATAAAAATAAGTCTCTAGTTCTCTTACTTATGGAGATGTTCCAGGTTCTCTAGTTTTCTTACATTTCATTTTATTAATATTTAATACAATCAAATATATTTAAGCTTTTTGAGCTACTGGTAATTATGATCTGGCTGTTCCAGAAAGAATTCTTCTACTACATCCACTCACTGTGAAATTTCTAGCTATGAGCCTGCCCTTGTAGACTTTCAAGGGTTATTTTATCTTGGGAAACAAGGACCTGAAACCTGGTGCTCCCAAGTCCAACAATCCACTTGTGCCTGGGGGCTTGTTGCTGTCAAGGCCTTTTCAGCCTTGCTCAACAACAATAATCCTCAGATTCCTACAAACCAAAACTTTCACATTCTTTTTAAAAAAAGCAACCCAAGTTTCTAGCCCTCATTTATGCTCCACAGCAATGAGGGCTGGAAAACCTCATGTCTTTATTTTAAAAGATGTAAAACTCTTAAAAATCCAAGGTTTTCACAAATATAGTAGATACAATGACAATTTCTGGACCTACCAAACCATTTGGAGATATTGGAAATGAAAAGTTTGGCAGAAAAATGAATGAAACATTAACAGAGATGTAGTTATGTTCACTTTTGAATTATAAAGGGGGGAGGTGTATGCTAAGACTTTGATTTGGCTTGGGAAACTCAATTTTCCCACATATTTTATTTCAAAGTGTATTAAAGCTACAATCCTATGCACTCCTATCTGGGAGCAACCATCTCATAAGTATGCAGTAGATATACTTAGGCCTTTGCTAGAAACCTGGAAATTTTGCTTGATAAATCAGAGGCAAACAGCATAAAATGCACACTAGGGTTATATTTGTTATGGCCTTGGCTTTTACAATAATAACTCTTACCAATGAAAATTAACTGGGAGATAAAGCAAATGGGTGTTTGCATCATTGGAAGAATGAAGGCTGCAGCAGAAACATCTTGTGCTGTGAAGAAATTTTTGGAGAGTATTCAAGGTTAAAAAACGTTGACAAGAGGAGTTTATGTTCTTCAACCACAGATTCGCACTCCCCTTCTTCCAACTCATTTATAAAGCTGAAGAAGAAAGATACTATCCATTCTGAAAGCTGTTGTCACTGCTTTACAGAACTGGACAGCTCTCCGTAGTGGGATTTAGCAAGTGCCGTGGGGGCAAACTAGAAGAAGCAGGAGATATGTCACTCCTTCTTTTTAAAAAGAGAGATTCTGGAAAGAAGCTTTGTTCAGTACAAGAGATGTAGGAAGCTGCCTTATACAAAGTCAGATCATTGGGTCCATCTAGCTCAGCATTGCATACTCTACACTGACTGGCAGTAGTTCTCCAAGGTTCCAGGCTGGGATGCCTCATTTAAAGCACATGACTCCCCAAAAGACTCCTGGGAACTGTGGTTTACCCCTCACAGGCCTACCATTCCTAGTGCCCTTAAAAAACTACAATTCCCAGAGTTCTTTAGGGAAAGTCATGTGCTTTAAATGGATGGAATGGGTGTGACCAAAGACTAGAGAGAACATTTCTCCAGTCTTGAAACAGTCTGGCCTGCCTCACAGGAACATTGTGAGAAACTTATTAGTGTGAACTCTTTGGAGGAAGGACTGGAACAAACTGATAGGTTTTAAGAACCATATTGGCAGGATACCTCATCACTATCTTGGTACCCTTCATTTCCCCCAGTTTCCTTTACTTCATTTAAATCAATCAAACAAACATACAAATACTTAATGAACAAGAACTGACAGAATTGAGATCTCTCACTCAGAGAGAGCACAGAGGGAGAGGGAGAGTTTCTTTCAAAGTCTTCCATTGATTTATAAGTATAAATTCTTATAACAAAGTTAACCGTGCCATTTCTTCTAGTTTAGTTCTGTTCCATCGCATAAGAAAGGCTACCCAAACTCAATTTTGCTTGTTTCATCACACCCAAGTACATTTCCTTAAAAGCCATTATCTTACACTTCAACTCAGTGTGGACCTTTCTACAACGATCTCACATAAATGGCTTTTTGTTATTTTCCCCAAGATTTTTAAAGCAATAATCATC